TTCTTAGTCTGCAACATATTGATTGTTACATGAATTTCAATCTCTTAATGAACTTGAGCAGTAGTTTTCGGCTAAGAACTACACTGGCACGTATGTAGAAAATAAATTTTAAAAAATAAGCTAATTTACAGAAACCATTGCAAGTATAATTCAATAGCCAAGGACGAATGTTTTGAAGATTAAAACATTAAATGCAGGCAGGGCCAACTTTCATCTACTTCCCTGACGCTCCTTCTGAGGTCTTTGGGTTCAACTGTGAGGTTGTTGACCTTAGTCTTCATCGCATGAATCGATCGCACATTGTCGAACCCTTGAGAGTGCATTCCATCGCTTCTCAAACATGCTTATAAATCAGTGCCTTTTGAGAATTACGATATTAATTGCCTTAAAAAATATATCGATTTATATACTTTTTCGGAGAAGAAACTAAATAATCTACAGTTGAATTCTTCAATCGGCAATTAAAAAAGCTTCTAACTAAGAAACATTAGCAGCAAATTGTAATCGTTCTCCATTCCCGACGTATCAATATATCGATAATTAATAGTAGCATATTTTGTTACTAAAGCAGAAAATTTCCAATTTCCAACAGAGCTTTTCAGCGTACTTTGTATCATTTAGCATGGATATTTTCTTTTTTCTGCTAATATGGACGTTGACAAGATAATGGAATTAGTGTCTATTTTTTACTGACTAATTGTCAGTTAGAAGGTAGCTAATCTGCTTCGGCAATAATCGCTTATACATCTTGGAATCGAGTTTTGACCTAATTGTTTGCATTCTGGTTATAAACTGAGGATTACTGAGTTTAGTTTTGTAAGCCTTTCTACGAAATGGCAGCCTTTATCCTTTACTCTGCATTTAGTAGTTTTACTCGGACTAGCCTGAAATCCATCTCAAAAAAACCTCAAAATGTTTTCTCTGTTGCCTTTAGAAGAGATGTATGGTGAAATTGAATTTACGTCAAAATCGACACGCTCCTAGAAACTGAACATTCACTAAAGTGCATCTATCCTATCATTTCTCGTATTGTCTCAATCAATTTCCTTGA